AAATTCCCGTTAGTCAAAATCGAGTTGCATAGTAAGGGCCCAGATTGTATAATGGTCAGGTTAAAAAATAACTTTGAATCTCCTTAAATTTAACTCGCAAAAGCTAAAGCTATTAAATTCTTTAACACCAAGCTTTAGAAGACAATTTAACTCGATATAAAACAACACTAAGTCACAAAGCTTTTATTTCAAAAGCTCTCTAGTTTTTGCAGGCATTACCTTACTCGCGATAAAACCTTAGAAAAATATTCCTTTAAAATAACGTGTATTTTTATGGTTAATAGTGTTTCATTTTTAAAATAGAACCGTGAACTGTATTCATTTTTAATGCGAGTAAATTTTTGTGAAAAGAACGTTTGTACGTCAGTACCTACTGTAACTAAGATTATAAGTTTACGCGAGAAGTACAATTAAATAAAACTTCTTTATACATATAACAGAGGACAAACGGATAGGAGGTTTACCTGATGTTAAGTATAGACACTTGGCTTGGCACACATTGGCTCGCAAGTGCCATGCCGGCCTTTAAATTATATCCTACGTGAATGCTTCCATTGTCTGATGACAATATATAGTTATATGTCAATTTTATGTAGTCGACCACAATTAGTGTAAGAACGGATGGCCGATGGGGCAAAAAAGCTTTTTTAACTTTCTTAAAATATTTGTGACCTTGACAATAAAAAGCGTTCGAATAGAATTTTCTTCTGGCACGCCTGTAAAAAAGCCTAAAAAGTAAGAAACAATTTCAATGGAATTTCAATTGTCAAGCCTTTTCTTATACTTGGTTTGTGGTGACGACAAAACATTTGCAAGGTATTTCGTATTTACGCGTTTATGAATTAGGAAGATATTCATAAAAACCCTACATAAAATAGAAAGTGATGTGATGAAAGGGAAGGTCGCCTCGAATATCATTTCTTTTGTCGTTTCAGCTGTAGGAATCGTCCGTTATATTAACGCTTGTTTATTACATAGTAACCAAATAATCGTATTTTTACCTATGAATACATATAATAAGAAACGCACAACTAATAACAACACTCTCCTTAAAGCCTCAGCATCGATCGAATGAGGTTCAGTTTCGCGGTCATTTGAAAGGGAAGGCTAAATTAGCCTCTAAGAAGCTGTGCTCTGGAAGGCAAGACGTTACTTCACTCCGGGGCACCGCTGGCAACTCTATAAAGCGCGAATAGGGCCCCACATGGAGTACTGTTCTCACTTCTAGGCGGGAGCTCCCCAGGACCAGCTCCTTTCACATCGATAGCGATTCAAATCTTCGACGACTAGTCACTTAATCCTTTGGTGTTGCTTAGAGATGTCAGGTCTTCCTGCATCTTCTACCGCATTAATTATGGAGGGTGTTCAGAGGAGTTGTTCGGATTAATACCTGCAGCTGAGTTTAATCGTATCATGATCAATAGTCAAGACTGAATACGAAATCCACATCCATAACTGAGCGTTTTTTAATACAGGTTTCCCTCGCATTACCACTATGTGGAACTACTACTGAAGTTATTCCGTACCAATTCGACTTGTATTTCAAGAAAAGAGCGTAACAATTATTAAGCAATTCTTCCTGGCAATTCCTTCTGGCAATGTGAGTGTCGTAACACTCTTTTTTAAGTCAAAGGGTTACCTACTTGATACCACTTAAACCCCAAATCCATTTAATTCGAGATACAAAAATTAATCACAAAACAGGGAAGCCTTCCAATAATTAACTTTTAAGCCTGAATGTACCAAGTGTAATTAAGGATTTCCACAATAAATTGGTTATTTTAAACTTCCAGTAATAAATATCACGCGTTGTCGAATTGATATACAATTACGAAAATAATATTTAATTGTTTCTCGTTAACCGTAGTTTATCAATACTGGTAGGGTTTTAACCTCTCCGTGTCATAAATGGTTCTGGATTCATCTCCCATCAAAATAATTTGGGCAATAAATGGTTTTCCGTTATCTGTAGTGCCGCCTAAAAATAAAGGGATGCTACACATCGTTATTGGAACTGTTCATACTTCGGTTCGATTTGTCATTTTAGTTTGATATTAAAATTTGTATCCATGACTGTTAAGCACATTGTTTTAAAAATTAATTTTTGATGATTTTTGATAATTTTAATAAAAACTTAAACATTATAGAAAATATCTAACACCTCCAAACTTATCTATATATATAAATGAATCCCTATTTCCGTTGGTCACGTCATCACGCGTGAACGACTGGACCGATGACGCATTTTTTTTTTTTTTGAGTTTATTATTGTCAGGAGAAGGTTCTTATGAAAGAAATTAAGAAAACTTCATGGAAAATTAGAAAATTTAAGAATACTTAACCACCCATATTAAGTAATCCTGACGTTTGACATAACATTGACAGAATGCTTGCTGCAAATATCGTCAAAGAGGATGTAAGAAAAATGAATAACGTTTAAAACAAATGCTGCGATCAGAGTTATTATATTGATAAAATACATATAAAATAATTATATTGATAGAATCATCTGTTCCCGTGTCGGGAAGCAACCAACAATACCAACAAAACTATATATATACCCACCAGAAAAACAAACAAAATGTTGTATATCATAAAGCATTAGAATAATAAACACTTTGTTTCTGAAATATTTTTTAGTTCATTTTTGAAGTTATACTTCATTAGGCGCGTTATGAAAAATTGATGAGAGTGAAATTTTACGATGCGCGCGCACCTGAGACAGAAAGTTGTCAGTGTGATTATAGCGAGCGCGAGCGAGATGGGAATAAGACAATATACAAGTAAAAAGAAATAGAATATGCGTGAAGTTGCTGCTAACATGCCAAGAATTTTGAATGACCATAATGACATTTACCTTTTAAACAAATAAAGGAGTTTTAATTATTTTTTCAAAGAAATTTAGCAATGCTTTTTCACAAAGACCTATTGTTACTTAGTTAAAAGGTTATGAAACATACCAAGTTATTAAATTGAATGAATAATATAATAAAATAATAATAATAATTGTTATTAATATTAATTAATAATTAAATTAAATATATTATACTAAAATAAATTATATTAAAAAAAATAAAGAAAGCCAAAGAAGTATAACTTCTTACGCGCGTACATAAGTACACGCACCCTTTTTTTTAATTCGAAATCAATATTCATAGTTAAGACAGGACAGCGTCTGTCGGGTCCGCTAGTAATATTATAAATGATTATTGTATTGTTTACTAAGCCAGCAATTGGCAAGAGTTTGCGCAGGATAGGGGGCCCTGGAAGTTTTTTGTTTCGACGGCCAAGACACTTTTAGGGTAACAGAGCCAGCGTAGGAGTAAGAGATTGTTTTTTTATTAACTGACTTAATATTGAACCATAGTGATCCAGTCCACAAAATGAGACACATTTCCATATTGTAAGTCTTTTCGCATTCATGTTTTGACCGATTTAGAATTTGATATGTTTGGCTATCACATTTTACCAAATCCATTTTCTTATTAAATATGAATTGAATACTAAATTATAACGATAGAATAGTTAAAGAAATTACGCATTATACGTAGTTTTATTACGATTTTTAAATGACCTTGGCTATTACATACCTCATTAATAAAGCCTGTATCAGCGAGGGTAAAAAATTAAACGTTCCGTAAGGATGAACAAAGAATATCTGGATGTTATATATGGAGTTTTACTATTGTTTTGTAATTTAATTTCCCTCAAGAGTTTCTCAGTTAATAATGCGTCAGTCAAGGATATGTCAGACATAATAAAGAAATCAACTTCAAAATGGGTTTGAGGGTGGCAGAAATAAACCTTTAGAAGTTCGCATGTCAAAATATTTAACGTAAAACAATTTGTGGTATCGCAATTCTCTTAATTCAACGTTGAAGGACACAACAATGTGACGGGCTTAAAACGAGTCAATTTGAATTTGTATTTCAATGGGAAGAGAATAGATCTGATTTCAAACACATCCCTGCAACTACGCCGTAACTGCGCTGCTATTTACCATTTATTTATTTACTCATAAAAATTCAAAAAGTATTCTGACAGTACTAAGCCAATACGATAATGTCGAACAATTTTTATTTTTTTTATATATACATGTCTCTTTACTAAGACATCATGGCACATTACAAACTAGCCTAACTTAAGACTAATAAGTAATTTAAGTCTAACCTAATTTACTAATAAGGATTTTTACATAAGAAAGTGTCCAATAACACTACTTACAGTGTCTATTAATGGGAAGACACTCTGTTCTTGTGTTCTATTTAAATGACCAAATAATTAATTATATTATAAAATACAAAAGATACTACTGTGAATTCACTCTGCAAAATATAATATATAATAGGACGTACATTGATGTATTGGTAATTCAATAAAAAAAACATTCTAGAAACTCAACTAGTTTGATGAAAAAACACCCAAAATTACCAACCTCTCCAATTTGACACTTTTATGGGTATTCCCGAAACTCAAAGATCGATTTTTGGGTAAAATATGAATCAGTAAGTTATTGTAATTTTATTCAAATTATCTATAAACCAACATATTACCAGTTTGTTTAGTAATTTAAATGCCACCCGATGCTACATGAAAAAGCGCGCTTTCTGGACCATAAACTTTACATAGATTTAAATTACATTTAAATCCGATACGTGCATTGCATATGGTTTAACGTTTGGAACAATTATACAATTATAAAATCAAATAAAGTTATTGTTTTAACATCATGCAACTGTTTTAGACATTTTACGTTATACACTAAATGGGTGAATTATTTAAACGTGAATGAAACGCATGCAAGCAAAAAACATAAAAACAATGATTTTGAAACATGACGCTAAATGTTAAATTGTCCTTCCGACAGAGTTCTATGTTCCCTACATATAACAGTAATAATAAAATGAAAAGCCTTTTATTTCTTTAAAATCAAATTAAAGTTAATCCTAATAAATATCTATATAATCTAATATCTATTTTCTAATTAGTTTGCAATAACTCTAGGTATCTCTGTCATGGCCAAGCTGCATCCAGCTGGAGCCAGTCGTTTTGATGATGTCATCCGCCCTTCCTTCGGCGGTCTTCTTCTGTATCGTTGCCCAATAGGGCCTCCCCACTGGGTCGCCCGTATGGCCACGGACTATCAGACGCGCGATGCCTCTTCTAACAGTCAACATATAGATATATACCTAGCTAAAAAATATTATCTAAAGAAATAACTTAATTATAAATCTGTGGCCATAGGTCAGAATATGATAAATGCAATTTATCAGGACAAGCAATTAAATATTATTAAGAAATCTTGAAGGCACTATTAAAATATGAAACACTAGATAATATGTGAATGATGTACTTATCATTGTCTGATCTATGACCACAGAATGTATTGCATAGGGCACTGAAAGAGCTTTTTCTACTTTTACAACTTTATCTAACTAAAAAGCTAATACTTTCCTTTTTTTTTATACATTAATAACAGCTTTTATTAAGAATCCAATTTTTAAACATCTAAATGAGAAGTAATGGGAATATACAAAGAGGTCAAATTAAATAAACAGATGATAGTTTAACCTAGCTTATAAATACAAAAAAATAACAATAACTAAACTTAAAATATAAAAACTAAAATATATTATTAAAAGGAGTCACTTTAGGCAAGGTTCCGAAGATGCTGGCAGCGTTCCCCTTTGAATAGCTAGACGAGTTCTTTGTCCGAGGCAATAATAATAATAATACTTTCGCAACATTTCACATGCTCCTTGCTACAAGATAATTTGACCGAAATGAGAAAATCATTTTTCGGCGAGTCATGCTTCCGTATTCAGTTTAGTTTTCATAAGACTGACTTGTGAGGTACCTGTATGTCTTATCATTTAACCCATTCACCGGGGTAACCGGATCTAATTGAACCGGGCTAATTGAAGAGTAGAAGACGTCGCCGGTCGAGGCTTTCATTTATAAATAAAGTACATCGCAGAAACGATATTTTAAGTGTATATATTGTCATTTATCGCACATAGTGATTTAGAATAACAAGTTTTTCCTTCAAGATAATGAGCTGTTGTACATGGAGTGTATTCATAATAACGCATAAGAAATATCTTCTACTCTTTACTAGAGTCAAGAAATTTACATTTTTAGTTTGATACTAATGTCTCCATTATTGTAGTATTAGTGTTATTGTTACACCGTTTCTAATAATGTCATTTTTAACTAAGAATTACTTCAAAATAATGTAGTATCGGTAAATACTTTTCTTACTGAAAGAAACTGGAACACCGCAAAACAAAATGAATAAAATCTCAGTCCTTGTGAATATTTTTATGGGGTTAACGAGCGGGTTTCTGAAAATTAATCTTTACCGCCGCCTATGGACGCCCGCAACAGCAAGAGGCTTGCGAGTACGTTGCCGGCCTTTAAGGTAAGTAGTACGCTCTTTTGTTGAAGACCCTTCGTAACTGTTCTGAAATACCTGGCATGGCTATTGGATGAAAACGCGGCAAGAAGTATTTTAAAAAGCGCCGTGATACTCCGACGAGAGAGACGTTAGGGTGAAACGGGTGCAATCGCATTCGGTAATTTCTAAGCTAAAAGCGTCTTTTCTTTCGTTAATTATAATAATGAAGTTACAATAACTTGGGAAACAACTAATAAATCCCTATTTATAGGATCTGGAATTGCTTCATCAAATGATGTACAAAGCAGTACAGGGTTTTGACTATTATACGCAAATTAACTATTGCAATTTCCCGCTTAGTGATAATAGTAACTAGTCTGCGCTGTGCCTTACTTCTAAATGAAATTCCGCTGCCCGCCTCATCTTTATAGCTACATGGATGTTAACTTTAAGTGCTATATTCGAGAATTAAATACCTTTTGACTCAGTGGTTAGTTGACTATTTATTGTCTTTATATTAAACCGCTGCGGAACTGAACTAGATATAAAGTATATTTTAAGTTACAAATTTAAAGATCTTTTTATTTTTGGCATTTCGATATATCCCATACAACACATTTTATATGTCTTAAGAAGAATGGGATTTTTGGAAATAATAGGAAATAAACATAAAAAGATGTAAGAAAGAAATACAGCTACGTTTGTAATTTTTTGTTATTTTTCTTTTTGGATTATTACTTTGTGTGTTTTTGTATGTGTGTGTGTGTTTAGTAATAAATATTATGCTCTGTCTGTCTGTAAAGTGAGAAGAAAGAAGGTAATAAAGAAGAGAGGAATGTAGATTCTAGATTTAGATTTACTATATTATATCTTACTATATATCGTCGGGTTGGTTCCAACACTTACAACTCGAGAACGGGCTGAAACGGTATGGTTTTTGATTTGTTGTATCCCCCATCCCAATAACTGAATAACTACAAATATTAAAAAATTGAGAAAAAGGTTCAGCCCAAAATGTTCATTTTAACTATCAAACATTTAATGTTCTTATTAGTAAACTCTCCCTAAAGAAAGTATTAAAAAAGGTTTACTACAATATTCGGATAATCGCGTATTATTTTAAAAAATGTCGAATAATGTCAGAAATGAAAAAGGATTGACATACATATTGATTGTCAAATATTTATACGTGCGTTCAGTATTTAGTTTTGGGTACAAAAAGGGAAATACATCATGCTACTTAAATATACAACAAATCAAAGCACATTGTTACGTTAAATATTGAAATTCGGTGATTGTAGAGAATTCAATGTGTATTTTATATTCATTGTAACATTCATTGCCTGTTAGACGGTATGAAGTTCGGTGGGTCATCTATTTGTTCAAGCAATCAGTTGATATAAAAATATAGTCCATCCAGCTGTTTTTCTCAATCTTAGACCATACGCGACAATGATAGTGATGTTTTGTCTCAAAGAGATGAAATCACGTGAAAACTAATGAATTTACCCCTAGACCTATTGTCTCCCAACAAAGAAACCTCTCAAGATAGAACATAATAGAATGTTTCTAAACATTACACAATGGCTGTACAGAGGCACAATAGGTGGACTATGCACGTGGCTATATTGTGGTGTAGGCTTAAAATAAACTTTATTTTTAAAACATTTATTAATAACATGCGAGAAAGTTTGTAGCATATCGCAGACTTTTCCGATAATTACGAAAGTGACGTATAAATAGCATTTAATATTTTGTTTTCGATTAAGTATTCGTGTCACCGTTGTTTTGTTTTATAAAATTTAAATAAAATGATTTGTCTTAATGCGGCCTCCTCCTATTGGAACTCCCTTCGGGTATTGTGAATTTCAGAATTTTAAAAACCCGTACTCTTCCACAAAAGTGAGAGGAGGCATGTAACATTGTATTTAATACAGCTTTTATTCGAATCAATATCATTCCTATCGTACGAAGCCGGATGTAGAACGCATTCAGATAGATTTATGGTTAAAAAAATATAGTGTAATGGTGTTGAAAGATAAACTGGTATTTATACAATGCGACCTTAAATTATTACTGCCAGTAAGAATGTGCAGCAAATTTTAACATAAGGATTAATGGGACAGGTTAAAACGAGGCAGATTACTTAGTTTTGAGTGTTTACCGCCAACCATGCAACATCAGGTTTGCGAGTGCATTACCGGCCCAAGCTTCGTTCTGAATTTAAGAATAAACTATAATGATTTATAAACAACGAATGGCCAAATAACTAAAGCTCGACTTAGCTGAGCCGAGCGAAGGTTTTAAGAATTAGTTTCAAAGTTGCTTTAATTTGTATCCGTTTTGATGGTATGTTGATAACGCCAATGGGGTAATATTAGTAATGGTTATTCGTTTAGAACGTAAGTTTGTTTTAGAGTAAACTTAATATTTTTAAATTTTGCATAATTTTTTTAAATATATACTATAGTATCTTTTATATTATTGTTTATACTTGGTATCTTAACTAATATTAAAATGCTGAAGAGTTGGTTTGTTTGTTTCGTAACGCGCAATTCTCAGGAACTACGGATTTTAAACTGATAAATTATTTTTTGAGTTGGATATAGATTTATTGAAATAGACTATTTCAATAAATCTATTTCAACTATAGAACATCAACCTACGATTTAATATAAGCTATATATATAATAATGGTAAACGTAGGGCACAGCTGGTATTTAATATAGTATATGCAATAAATTGTTAAGGATTCACGAAAATGTCTTTAATACGAAAAGATATATATAGTAACATTGAACCCAAAAACATAACAACATCTCAAGCCTAGTTTGTTGAAGATAAAAGGCGAGTAAATTGATTTTATCCGTGATTCGTTTAAGGCCTTTGTCGAGATAAAGAATATTTTGTATCAGTGCCCTTCAGTCAATATTAGGCATCTGAAGTTAGCTACAATTTTAACGTTTACACTGAAGTTGGCCACGTGCCGCATTCTATTTTTAAATAAAGGTGGTCCTAAATTTTGTTAAATATTTTTCCAAGACGGAAAACTTGCTGTCAGTTAGAAAAGATCATAAATGGTGGCAGCTGGCAGTTTTATGGAAAACGTTATGCGACAGTTTCAGCAATGCTTATTTTGAATATTATGATAATATGAAGGTAATATGCAATTCCTTTTACGATAAGTCATCTTTGAAAGGTATCTTTATTTAATGTAAATGATTTTCATGTTTATGGAGGTTTTTCTTTCGTTGCAAAATTTTAATTATTTATTATTAAGGTATGATTCTATTAAGACTCAATATTTTTTTCTAGAATATATTTAAAATTGTTGATTTAAACAAAAAAAATGTCAGCTATTATTATGAACTTTTGAAGTGGATGTGGCTAAAATTCTAGCACAAATTTCTTTATAATTCAAAAAGACATCGATTCAGTCTTTACTAACAGGGGGACGACCCAATCATTATTTATAGCAATTTCCAGCCCTCGAGGGTAGGTGGAAAATATAGTGAGGAAAATAATAAAAACCTAACCACTGAATCATTGTTGTAATTTTAGTTTATATTTTTAATTTCAATCTCGTAAATATCTAAAATTTAAAACGTAAGCTTAGAAATAGTATTGACTACTGAATAGTTGGCAATTGAAAAATGAAAGACAATTAATAATCCCACCGTCTTGTCATAAAGGTTAATTTAAAACGCGTCCTAGATATTGAGACTTCAATTACTTGGAACTTAATATATTGGAAAAGCGGATCTATTCCCCATTTACCTTGATGTCGCCTGAATAGGCTAATGCAGAGTTAAGGAGCTGGTTTCAACAGGGATTTAATTGAACTGACACTTTATTAAGGTCTGTGATAAAAGTATGTCTTTAATCTAAAATTACGTTATTTGGTATGTAGAGTATTATTAGCGGCTTCGTATCGCTGGACATTTATTTTTAGATATTTTGGAGTACAGGCTGTATGTACTCATATATTATAACATAGAAGTACAACTTCTAGCTTTTTTTTTATGTTACAGGAGGCAGACGGGCAAGAGGCTCACTTGATGTTAAGTGATACCGCCCATGGACACTCGCACTGCCAGAAAGCTCGAAAGCGTGCCGGCTATAGCTTTAAAAATCAAATTATAAAGAAACTGTGGCGCTACAAACCTTTTAGGTCTAACCCTTAGGTATCTGTTTCGTGTTCATTTGTTGTTTTATAATTGGTAAATAGATCAGCTTCCTTCGCCCAACATACGGTCACGTTTTGTATCTGAGGCATGGTGGTTTCCTAACGATGTATTCGTTCACCGTATGAGCGAAATGCGCACATAGACATTAAAGTTCCTTGGTGCACAGCCGAGGTTCGAACCTTGGATGTCAGGGATAAGAGTTGCATACTGGAGCCACTAGGCTAACACTGCTTTTCATATTACTCACGTCTTATTAAAATATTTATCATTGCCCTAGCAAAAATATTATTTCGGGTTATATGACTGATACACATATAGTTGTATTAAAAACTAACTAACTAAACTTAATATACCGATTTATAATTAATTTA